AGTGGATTAAAGCACCTGCCAACAGGCGCAGGGGCCTGGGGTTTGATGCCTGGGCCTGCTGTGCCAGCCATGCCCCCTAGAACATGCTGAGATGGCAATTGAGACTAAGTGTGGTGGCACGCGCCTGTAGTCCCAGCTCTTGGGAGGCTGTAAACAGGCAGATCACTATGAGTCCAATATAGTAGCGAGACCCTGAACACCCTGTAGACTCTGCCCTGAAAAAAAAAAAAAGAAAAAAGAAAAAGAAAAGAAAAAGGGATTGGAGGTGTAGCTCAGTTCAAAGGCAGCTCTGGTGAATCTCCAGTAGTGGCCCCCCCATAGGTGTGAGCGCACAGTGTTGCACGTGCTGCAGAGTGGAGGGGGTGCTTTGTGCTGAGGCTGCACAGTGCAAGGCCTCTGAGCCCCACACAGCAGCTGCAGCTGGCGAGTGAGGGGGCTGGAGGGAGAGGCACGAGATGCATGCTGCCAGCCCACACGGGGGCTTGGGGCCCACCTGGCCAGGCGGGAGGACAGTGGTGGCCTTTCCCAGCCAGCATGCATGTCGTGTTCTGGGGCAACAGCTTCCAGCTTTAAGCCCAACTTGCATTTGACATGGTCTCCCAAGTTTTCTATCATGCCTAGCTACAGCAATGGGCTCAGGACCAGACATGTGACTCAAACCAGAACAGTAAGCGCCACCCTCGGAGCTCTTCTTCCAGTCATGTTTGGTTTGTCTAGCTGAACAGCCAAAGGTTGGAAGCTGCTGATTTTGCTACCAGCCGAGGCTAGAGGGTGAAGCCGACTTGAGCTTCCTGACAGCACTGTACAGCGGCCGGAGTCAGGCACGCCTGAAGCCGCCTGTTCTTGTACAAGCTTCTGCCTCTGCATGAGCAGGGGAGCTGCCTATCCAAGCTCCCTTTGCCTGCTCTGGCCTTCCTTGTACCCTGGCCGGTCCACGGAAGCTGCTGCTGTGACTACTAGCTTTGCACTGCTCTTGCCTGCCCCAGACAAGCATTCTGCTGTCAGCTGTGCCAGCACAAAGGTTAGGGCCAGGAGAATGGCTGGCTGAAGGCAGTGCGCACGGGGCACGACGTGGCTCACTGTGCTGCGACCAGGAGCTGCTCAGCTGGTCTCAGGCTGACTGGCTTCTCCCACAGACACCAGAAGCAAACCCCTCCCCACCTGCTGGAAAGCCCCACCCCATCCACAGATTTCCTGGAATGCTGCTGTACCACAATCCACGTTTCATAGGTGCCAAACAGTATTCACCCAATAAAGACATTCTTGGCTTCTCCTTCCTGATTAGAAGGATCAGAATCTACCTAGGTGACATAACAGTTTTTTCAGTTGGCACTGCTGAAACTGTGTGCCACCCAGGCATGACGGGCAGCAGTTTTTAGCCCTTGAGAGCCAGTTGGGGGGGGGGGTGTGACACACTTACAGAGAGCCGGCCTCCACGTTGGGGCCCCTCACGTAGAATGGGACCCGGATGTCGAACTCATATGGCATGGACTTTCCTTTCACCAGGCCGAACTGGCCTATGTGGTAGCCGTGGTCGGCGGTGTAGACGATGTAGGTGTTGTCCAGCTCACCTGTTTCCACCAGCATGTTGTAAATCTGTAACCCAGGCCAGGAGCTAAGGCGTGGTCCATGGCCCCTGCCCACCAGTGACTCGGAGTAACAAGGGGCGTGAAGTCCCTGATTGATCCCACTCCCGCCTCAGGACACATCTCAGAAAGACCCTGAGGATCCTATTTATAACTGTACCTCCCTAACCCCCCAGGTACCTTTCATCTACTTCTAGCTTGTGGATTTGGTCTCTGCAGTACTTAAGCTCCATTTGGGCTAGGACTCTGGTCCTCTTGTTCCCTGCCCACTGTGTCCCACGTGCACTGACCCTTAATAAATGCCACTGAATGAATGAGAGAGAATGAAAGAAGCTGGGCCTGGTCTGTGCTGCCCATTGTGGTAGCTGCTAGTCCCGGGGCTACTGGGCACATGGGATGTGGCTAGTGCCACAGATGTATATGGGATGGTATCTAACGAATTCAAACCGAAGTAGCCAGGGATAAAATGCACCCTATGTATCCACACAATGGAATATGACCTGGCAACAAAAATGCATTTGAACACATGCTACACCATGGCTCGACCTTGAAAACACTAAGTGAAAACAAAACAAAAACTCTGGTGCCAAAGGCCACATAGTCTGTGAAATGTTCAAAATATGAAACCCATGGAGATAGAGCCTACTGGCTGCAGGGTGTGTGGGAGGAGGGAGAGGGGGCGCTGGAGGGTCATGGTGAAGTTGATGAGCTTTTTTTCTTTGAGGTGATGGAAATGTTCTAAAATTAATTTGGAATTTGCTGCAAAACCGAATATATTAAAACACTTAGTTGTACACTTTAGTTGGGTGACTCCAATATTCACCCAATAATGAACATAATTACTGGTATATGAAGTAGATCTCAATAAGGCTGTAAAAAATGTAAATGGCAGAAGAAAATAGTAGCTGCACACAGTGGCTGTCACATGGGGTGGCACAGATCAAGAACGAAAGGCTCATGACGGTGGTGGTTAGGCCTGGGTTGCTCCATGTCATTGCTAGGTCTAGACAGCACCTTGGCCTTCCTCTCTCCCTTCCTCCAGCTGACAGCCTTCTGGAATAAGCAGGGGGACCCATCACTGGTGGCTGGGCTCCGCCCAGGAGGGGACCTACCGTCTCCATGGAGTCGTCCACGGACAGGAGGGTCTGGAGGCGCTTCCGCTGCAGCATGTTGGTGAACTCCATGTGGATGGGCTTCATGGGCCCCGTGTAGCGCATGATCCAATGCTTGTCCAAGTTGGGCGCGTAGTTGTAGCTCGGTGTGCTGGTGGCAGACACAGTGAGTGAGTGGACCTTGGATGACCAAAGGGCGCTTGGTCTACCCAGAGATGAGGGACATCATGTGTCAGGGGCTCTGCTAAACACTGTCTCAGCACTTCACAAGGTGTCAAGAGCCACCGGGAGGTGGAATACTGAATGTCCTTGAACCACAAAGTGAGAAAAGCAGTCCCTTTGCTTCCCTCAGGCTAAACCTCAGCTTGGTGCTAGTTTTCCTTCACTTTCTGGAGTTTGTCTGCCTCCTTTTTTTTTTTTCAGTACTGGATATTGAACTTAGGACCTTGCACTTGTCAGGCAAGTACTTATTGTACTGAGCTATCTTCCCAGCCCTGTACACCCCTTCATAAAGTTCAGTGCCCCTAGCAGGCCAGCCTGCTCTAATTTCCCAGAACTGCTGTGTGTGTGTGTGTGTGTGTGTGTGTGTGTGTGTGTGTGCGCGCGCCTCAGCCACTCTGGGTGACTAGTGGCAGGTACCCTGGGTAAGGGGTCTACAAAACATCCTCTGTAATGCATTTTGGTTTCAAAAGGTAGGAAATGGATTTAAAGATCAAGTACATTGTATTTGTGCATATGTGGCTCCAATTCTGAGGCTAGCGCCCTGATGTCCACAGCAGGGCTATGTCACATTCTGTGTCACTGTCCCTCTTCCACCTGTTTAGATCTCCCAGTTTCTAGAGCTTGTCAGGAGTCTGGGACCAGTTCAGGAAAGAGAGCCTTGGGCCCTGGGCTTCCTGCTTTGTGGCAGCTGCGATGCTGAATGACAAAGGACACATACATGGAGACGTGGGGCTGAGCAGCCACACATATGCAGCCACACATGTGGGTGCAGCAAAAGGCTCTATGTCCACCATCTCATTTACCACAGCAGTCTGATGAGGTGGCACTACTCTCTCTCCAGGAGGAGGAGGGAGGGAATTGGGTTGCCACAGCTGCCAATGGCTGTCACCCCTGTGCTGGCACCAATGCCACCTGCTCAGGGCCAGGCTGGGGCCCCTCACACCAGGGAGTTGGGCTACGCTGGCCGAGAGGCTCCTGCTGGAGGCCTAAGCAGCAGGAACACAAAGGTGAGCTCGGCTCTGGCCTCTCTGTGGGCTCTGGTAATGCCTTCTTCCATCCCAACCTAAGAGCACCTCCATGGCCTCTGGTCATGCAAACCTGGGGATTGGAGGTACGGAAACCCCACCCCATGCAGGGTTTCAAGGTATGCTGCACCACTGCTAGGAGAAATAGCACTTCAACCCCAGCGATGAGAGTCCGATGAGGCTCAAGGGCCAGTGTCCCCTCACATCCCACCCCTGCCCCAGTCCATTCTGCAAATGAAGCTTCAGCCCAGAGTGAAGACAAAGGGCTTTTCAGAGCAGGTATCAAGGGGCTACAGGAGGGAGGGAGGGAAGCGGGCCGGGCCGTGTGAGTGCAGGGCCAACTCCTTCCCCTCGCACCAGCCACATCAGGATCTTAGTCCCTCGCCAGCCAATGTCACAATGCTCTTGGGCAGACATGGTGACGCTGCAGCTTGCAGCAGCCTGACAGGAGTCCATTGCTATGTGAAGCTGGAGCAAGTGGCAGCCTGTAGACTCCTTCTGGACTTCTTGGCTAATCTGCAGCCGCCTGCTGCTAAATCCTCCCTGGCCCATGTTTCCTTTGATTATGGAGGGCTGCTCTCCCCTGCGTCCAGCTCAGGGCCTGACCTGTGTGTCGAACATTCTCCGGAACAAGGCCTCCTCCCCGCTGGAGACCAGAAGAGATGCTGCTGGGTGGGGTCGGCAGGGCCAGTGAGCCTTGTGGTTTGTCAAAGCTGTTCCCCAGGCTCCAGGGGGCTGTGACTCTTAGCCGTCAGGCTGGGGCTGCCTGCAGAGCAGGGCCACAGCATAGAAGTCACTGCGCAGTGATTGCTGCAGTCTTTTCTGCAAGGGATCCCTTAGCCACGCTGTGGGGGCCCACACAGCCGGCTGGTTGCCTGCATCTCACAGGGCTGCCGCGTGGTCCCTCTCTGTGCCTGCTGAGCAACTGTGTGAAGCTCATCATAGCCCTGGGTGTGAAAGGTGTGAACAGCAGCCCCAAATCCGCCTGCAACACAGCCCAAGAGGGGAAAGGGGATGTCCTGCACTCACTGGAAGACCTCTGAAGGGAGCACCGAGGGCTGATGGGGCGTCTGCACGCATAGCTGTATCTGTGTGTGTCTGTTTAACCTGTCTGTGTATCTCTGTGCCTATCGGTGTGTTTGCAGGCCTGTGCTTCCTGGTGTGTCTGTGTAACTGTATTTGTTTTTGTGCACCCATGGGTCTGTGTGGATGTGCTGGTATGTGTGTATGGGGTGTGTGTGTGTGTGTGTGTGGCTTGCTGTTTTTGTGTCTGGTGCTGTTTCTGTGGTCTGTATCCACACTTGAGTGTCTGCACGTGTGTGGCATGCAGGGAAGGGTGAGCGGGTTGGGGCAAGGTGGCAGCAACAGCTGCTGCCACAGCTGTCAGCTGGGAGAAGGGACAGGGCAGTGGTGCTGGGGACAAGAGTGATCTGTGCTGTCCTGTGTGCTCTGTCCCCTCCTCAGCCCTTCTCGACTGAATGAGATGTCATGATGAAATACCAGGGCTGCAGAATTTTCTTTTAGTTTTGTTCTGCATGTCCTAATAACCCAGGGACAAAAGGGCCTTCCAAACTCTCTCCCAGTGAGGCAAATAGGATTCTCCGAGTGAGCAGTAGAGGGCGCTACTCATTTCCAATTTCTGAAATTTTCATTTCAAAGAAAGAGTCAATGAGCAGACGTCAAAGGGCCTCATCAGACAACTGGGGGGGGGGTACTGGGGTGCGGCCAAGCCCCCTTCTGTAGGAGCTGCAGTGCCTTTGTCTCTGGGACGGGTGGCATGGACCCCAGGGCTGGGGGTGGGAAGGGAGCCTGGGGGCTCCATCCCAGGGTGGAGGAGAGCCAGGCTTTCGGCTGTGCGGAGGTGACACTGCCCGCTTGGGGCTGGAGGTGGCGCTGTGGCCCTAGAAACCCACTGATAACCTGCACTTGCCTCCCCTGAGGACCTGGGGTGGAAGGCAACACCCAAGCGCTAGCCTCTCAGAGCCACTTGGGTGGGCGCTGTCAGAAAGTAATTACAGTGAGGGGGCGAGGGGGGCAATGCATTCTGATCTCAACGAAAATTAAACACCCTGAATATTCAGCAGATTCTAAATTGCCCTGTCCTTGTCACCCTGGAATGTCACCGCAAGGACTGCTGGGTATCACAGCTAAGTGGGCAGTGGTTTGTGGTAGTAAAAAGCCAGAATATTTTCCAGAAAGATACACCAAGCCAGCTGGAGGGAGGCAGTCTAGAGGGTTGGGCAGAGACGGGACACATGTGCAGGGACTGGATTGGAATCCTAGCTCTGCCGTTGAGCAGCTGGGAGACCTCAGGTACTCGTTACCTCACCTCTCTGTGCCTCGGTTTCCTCATCTGCAAATGGGAATGCCATATGTGCTAGGCGGCTTTAAAGATGACCCTAATGCTCCCCACTGCCTATCACAGCCCTACACAGACTGTTGTGTGACCAATGGAATGTGGCAGTGTGATGGTGTCACTCTGAGATCAGGTTATGAGGTGGCAGCTTCCACGCTGGCCTCTCTTTCTCTGATTGTCTTCCCTGGAGAAAGCTATCACATTGTTCGGACACTCATGCAGCCCTGGAGAGGCTACATGCATGGCACAAACCAGCGAGGAGGGCGAACGAGCCCCGGGCAAGGCTCAGGGTCAGCAGCCCCAGCTGCCACCTTGACTCAGCCTAAACCTCAGACCGTGAGCCAGGACCTCAGTCAGGGCAGTGACTTCCAAATGCTGCTGCTACACGCAGCTAAACTTCTGGGTCCTCGGTTAGGTGGCAATGGATAGCTGACACACCAAGCGCCCCTGTGAGCGTGAAGGGACCCGATGCCGTGTGCTGAACGTAGCACAGAGCCCGCACGGTTGGCAGCGGGCAGAGCTCAGGCCCCTTCTCCAAAGAATGTTCTTGCATGTAGCGAAGCAAACCACAGGCTCATAAATTACGCTCTGCACTGCAGTGCTGTCCACAGCACATGGTGGGAAGACTGGGGTCCCAAGTTCAGAGCTCTTCCCCCAGCTCTGGTCTGTACCCAGGCTGCCTGGATTTGGGGTGTCTACCCAGGAGGACTAGAGGGGAGGCACGGCCACATCATCTGCTGTCCCTAGAGGCTGACTCTCCCACCTCCGAGCTACCAGTGGTTCTGCCAGGCAGGGCTGAGGCTTACATGTGCTGGGATGCATTGGGGAAGAGGCGTGAGTACTGGGGGGCGGAGTCCTCAGGGCCGTGGGGGGCTGCGTGGCTGATGACCATCAGGACCGGCCGGTGCGGGTACATCTTCTTGGATGTGCGGAAGAAGCTCACGCTGTCGTTGGTGATGAGGTCTGTGAGGTAATCCTAGCGGGAGGCAGAGGGGGGTGGTGAGCCGTGTATCCACACTGGGTGCCCGCATGTGCCACGTATTGGCTGGGTCACAGCCAAGGGTAAGTCATTAAGTAACACATACAGAATGGTGCGAAGTTCAGAGGAAGAAACAGCAGAGCAGGGGCTAGGGCACCCTTGGGGGAAGTGCCACCTGTTACCCCTTCACTACAGACATTAAAAGAGTAATAGCTAGGGCTGGGGAGGTAGCTGTGTGGCATAAGCACCTACCTGGCCAGTGCAAGGTCCTAAGTTCGATCCCCAGTACAAAAAAAAAAAAAAAGCTAGCACCACTGAGTGCTTATGTTGTACTACGCTATTTCTTAGCTCATTTAATTTTCTTTTTTTTGGTCAGTTGATAATTTTAATAAACTCATAATTCTACAGCTCAAAGCTGTGTTATTTTCTCGCATCACTTGCAATAAAACAATAACAATAATAATCATTTAATTTTCACATCCCCACAGAAACCTGATGTGATGACCGTTCCTATGTTTCAAATAGGAAATTAAGGCACAGAGAAGTTGAGCACATGATCCAACGTCACACAGCTGGTAGGTGTTGGAGTCAGGACTCCCAGACTCCTGGGTCCTCAAGGCTCTGGGGGGACCATACTGCAGGGTGGGGACATCCCTGCATGTGACTGAAGAACCAGGATTACTACAAGATGTGATGAATCAAGAAAATAAGATCAGGAAATGTGACATCTGAGAGTACCTGGGGGATGGGGTAGGGTACATAATTTAGCTGGGACAGCCAGGTGGGCCTGACTGCGAAGGTGGCAGCTGAGACCTGAATGAGGAGCAGAAACTGGATACAGAAAGAGCTGTGCTCCTGGACTTGAGGCCCAGCCCCTGCCAGAGCCTCTGGGGGCTTTGCCGACACCAGGCCAGGTTCTGTAGGTCTGTGGTTTGCCCCAAGTGGCAGACTTTCTAAAAGTTCCCAGTGGCCAGGCTGGAGAATCACAGATCCCAAGGGAGAGTTCTGGGCAGAGGGAATAGCAAATGCAAGGGCTCTGTGGCAGAGCGCTGTCCTGTATCCTAGGAACAGAGAAGACGGCAGGGGGGCGGCTGGCTCCTCAGAGGGTGATGATGATAGCAGGTAAACCACGGAGGACACAAGAAGCAGTGCGCGCGCGCGCGCACACACACACACACACACACACACACACAGCAAAGAAGGGCACACAGTAACCCCTCAGAAAACTGAGGAACCAGCCTATACAGCAGGAGGACAGAACAGAAAGAAACCAGCCAGAAACTGAGGGCTTTAAAAGCTCAGCTAAGAGGTTAACGTGTGCATTAACCCTTTTAAAACTTAGCAAATCTTTAGCTGCTGATTCTTCCTGATGGTTTTGAGTTCTTACAACTTATTCTGTTACCAAGAAGCATCTGCCCCAAAGTATCACTTTCAAAGGAGAGATTATTTATAGAGAAAAGTGGAGGGGCGTCAGCTTCCACCCTGATGGCAGGGTATGCAGCTCAAGTGTCCTCTGTAAGCATGGGGGTGACCACTGGCTGGCACGCATACCACAGCAGCAGAGGGGGACAGGTGACTGACAGGACTGCTGTGGCACCACGCACGCTGAGCAGACACACTGCAGCAGGTCTGTGGTTACTGGTGTGGAAAATTGTGCAAGATACATTGTACAGGAGAGGCCACGTGACCGGGCAGAAGTGTGGAAGCAGAGCAGACAGGAGAAGCCAAACCCTTGACCTAGAAGCTCTGAATGCCAAGGAAAACCTTAGAAGGCTGGCTGCCAAGTGCTGATGGGCGACTGGGAGAGAGGGGCAGGACATCATCTGCTACTTTCTATACTTCAATTGTTTTTAATGGAGTACTCTTAAAAATGGTAAGAAAATGTGTCAGAAGAGGGCTTTGTTGAATCTATTCTACAGAATATTTTATGAATCAGAGTTGCTGCTATAGTCTTTTTTTATAGTCATAGTTTTAATTTTTGAGACAGCTACATAGCTCAGGCTGGTCTCGAACTCACAGTGATCCTCCTGCTTCAGCCTCCTGAGTGCTGGGATTATTGGGGTGCACCATCATACCCTGCTAGACATGTTCTTAAAGTGACAAAAGGAGCCACCAGCTGAAACTGGCTGCCGCCAGCCAGTGGCACGGGTGGAAAGAGGGCTGCTGCTTTTCACAATCAGGCCGCTACAACCACAGCTGGGGTCTAGAGCTCAGAAACTTTTCGTTTTTTTTTTTTTTTTTTTTAATTTTTTATTTATTTATTTGAGAGAGAGAGAGAGAGAGAGAGAGAGAGAGAGAGAGAGTGTGTGTGGTGTGTGTGTGTGTGGCCAGCTCAGCCCACCAGGGGGCGGGGCTGGCTGGCATGTGGTGCTGGGGGATCGAACCGCGGTCCCTGATGCTTTGCTAAGCCTGTTCCAAGTAGGTGCTTCAGACCACTGAGCCATCTCTCCAGCCCTCGTTTGTTGTTTGTTTTTTGTTTTTTGTTTTTTTGGCTGAACCAGGGATTAAACTCAGGCCCTTGCACTTGCCAGGGAAGTGCTTATTCCACTGAGCCATCTCTCCGACCCCCTGCTCAGAAACTTTTCGATGGTGGTCAGTCAACATGTCCAATCATCCAACATGTCCATGGCTCTCCCTTCCCACGGCAAAGCATAATGGTGGGCATGTACAGTAGTGAAGAACAATAGACCAGAGCCACACAGATCAACATGGGCCTTGTGGCTTCATTTGACGATGGCTAATGTCACAACATGGACAAGCCTGAAGTCATATTGGGTGATACTGACTGTGGATACAGCTCACTTATATAAAAGTGGAAGAACATCTGAGATACCTGCCGCTGACATATAGCATAAGCACCAAGCTCAGGGTCCTGGTCACCTCTGGGAGAGGTGGCAGGAGGAGAGAGGAGAGGAAAGCTGGGAAGGGAAGCCTGGGCTCCTGTGGCTCTGACATCCTCGGACCCGCACTGGATTTCTGCACCTGCCTCTTAGGCAGGCTGAGGGTTTCAAGTGCTAATAGCTGTTAAGCTGTTAGCCACAGTGCCCTGCACAGCCAGCTCTTGATAAGATTAAGCCTGTAATTATGACCAGCCCGGCGCTGGGCAGGTTTTCTGCAAGGCTAAGAGGTGCTCATCCTTATCAGGCCTGCTCAGAGGCCCCTCCTTTCTCAGTCTCCCCTCAATCTGCAATGACATCAACGTGTCCCTCCTTCCTCCCTGTGGGCTGGGTGGGGACCCTGGGGCGGCCATTGAGAACCAGCCATCCCTCTGGCTTCATTCGGGGAACAGAGTAAAGGACTAGGGGGTCTGAGCCATGGTGGTGGGGACACCACAGCCCTGTCTGGAGGGGTCGAGCCAGGCTGCTGACAGCAGCTCCTTGTCTCTTTTGGCTTCCAGTTTGGGTGCGTGGGAGAAGGGTACAGAATGAAAGGAGTGGGCACAAGAGAAAGAAAGTGGGCAAGGGTGGGCAGAGTGTGTGTGTGTGTGTAGTGCAGATCTAGACCAGCTGGGCTTGGGGTGCTTGAGTGGGCCATGGGGGAAGACTTGGAGATTCAGAATTGGGGTCATAGGCAAGATATCATGTCTGCATCTTGTACTATGAATAACTACTATGAAGACAACAATATGCAATGTATTAATTATTGTAGCTGTCCTACTAACCTGTTTTGAAATTGTCTCATTGCTCTTTCTCAATAAAATTAATTTAAAAAATAAATTCTAGAGAGAAAAAAAACAGAATTGAGGTCAATCAGGTGAGTAGGTGGGGGGGCCTCACTGGCCATATTGCCCTTGGGGAGGTTGCCCCCCCATATACCCTGCTGGGGCCAGCTGCTCCCCCATACCCAGGGCAGGACACCGCCTGAGCAGGCCCAGACTTTGCTTGGCACACTTCTGGCATGCCTGTGCAGGTGGGCCGGATGCCAGGGCTTGGAAGTGACAGCTGGAGTGAGCCGGGGTGGCGTGGACAGCTTCTCTGAGGCCTTCCTGGGTGCACCCCCAGTTGCTACCACTCAACGCATCTTCTGGGAGGAGACTGCTAGCTAAAAACGTGCTCCCAAGCAAGCGCCGGGCTGTGGTTTTGCTTGCAAAGTGCAGGCGGGGTGGGCATGAAAGTAGGGCCATGGATGACACCACTCTCGGCTCAGCACTCAGTGTGGTACTCCTCAGTCTCTGCCACATGGGTCGGTTCCCCACCCCCGCCACCTCTGTCTCTTAACTGCTGCAGAGGTGGCGGATGCCCTCACTGAGCACGTGTGAGCGGTGCCCTGCAGGGCGGGGCTGCAGTGGTGGATCCTGTCCTGCAGTGCTGTGGGGCCTGGAGGTCCTGGCTCTGCAGATGGATCACTCTGGCCGCTGGGGAAAGTGCGTACAGATGAGGGGCACCAGGGAGCCCAGTGGAGCCCTGCTAAGGTCCTTGCCCCCAAGAAGCCGGAGTCTCCTTGTTTCCAGGCCACCTTTCTGCTTGGGGAGCCCCACATAGGTCCCCTGGGTCACAGTAAGCCTGGGCCCAGGTTCCCAGGGCTTTGCTGGCCTGCCCTGGTGGGAGGGTGCAGCTGGGGAGGGGTGGCCTCACTGGAGCAGTTTTGTACCTCGGCAAGTCAGTTGCTTAAGTCAGCCTTGAGTAAAGGCTTTCCTTGTCCTGAGCCTCAGCTTCCTCAGGCAGAGATTTTTCAAATTTTCATTGCAAATCACAGTGCATGCCCCTCAGCTCTGGACTTCCCTGGCAGTTTGTTTACCAAGAGATTTGCTTCCCTTAGAGGAGCCCTGGGCCTTCATGTGGGTGGTTCTGCCGTCAGACTAGCCGCATTCGTCCCGCTTTACCACTTGCTGGCTGCGGGTGCTCCAGGCCTGACAGAGGCTCAGACTCTGTAGCTAGCAAAATGTGTCTGATGAACTGTCCTGTCTTCACATGGTGGGGTATGCGCCAGAGAGCACAGCACTTAGTAAAGCTGGCACCCCAAAACCTGTCCCAAGCAGAAGCCCAGCTGATCATACG